CCCACCCCCCAGAGACGCCCCAACCGCCCGACTCACCCGGGAACCAGCAGAGGAGCAGAGCAACCACGATGCCATGGCAATCGATAGAGCAGCGGCCCAGCTCCTCAGCGTGGGAAGCCCCGGGAGAGGCAACCTTTGGCGACCCAGAGAGTTGCAGTAGTGTCGGCAGAGCACGGCCCCTGGAGCGTGCACCCTGGAACCTCACCCCAGCGAGCCGCGGCGCGGACGTCGCAGAGGGAAAGCTGAGGGTGGACACGGCGAGGAGCCCAGGTGCCGGCACACTTACGCCTAGACGGTGTCTGGGCTTATCACCGGGGGTGGGGCCAGATGGGGAGTAGAGGCGGCGGGAAACACAGGCGGTGCTGGGAGTGGAGAAGAGGGAATAAAAGGAGAGAGAAGCAGAGGGGCCGGGGAGGAGAAATGTGCGAGGGAACTGAGCTGAGAGAAACAGAGAGAGGGAGAACGAGAGGTGTCCTGCGCACGCCGGCAGAGGGACTTAAGGGGTGACATTGACCCCGTCCCCTGCCTATCTGAGGCCCCACAGCAGACTCCTCCTTAACGAACTCCCTCCAACTCCAAGGACCGTCCGCCCTGGTGGGAAGCCAGACACCATGGCCACGGGCGGGTCAGCTCCTGGATCACAGACGGAGCCTGACAGCATGCAAAAGAGTGAAGAAAATGACTAACACAGACCATACGCATTTCAGCCTCAAGGGCCTTCCTCAGTGGTCAATAATACATACTTTTTAGAAACAGATCCAGAAAATACTACCCATCTGTCTAGGTGTTGTTATCTGGAAATACAAAGGGAAGAGAAAAGGAAAAAAGCCAAACTGCTATAATAGAGATACACCTGATTAATGCTGTACTAAATATTTTTGGAAAATTCTGCAAAAAAATAACAAAATCAGTGCTGCCTCATATATTGTGCCATAAGATGGAAACTTATAAAGCAGGCCATAGATCTCTTCACATGGTAGCTGCATTCACACATAAATCTTCATTGATGTAATAATCTATACAGTGAAAATTATATATGAGCTAAACTTTATAAATTGACAATGATCATTTAAACCTGAAAATAATTAAACCTACAAACAGGCTTGGCATAGAATTTCCAATATTTCAGGATGTATGTGTCATCAACCAGCAACTGAAGTCAAATGACACATTTGTCGTACTAAGGTCAGCTCTTTAATGAAATGAAAGGATGATGCAATACCTCCTGTGTGTAATGTAGTTCTGCTTCCAAAGGAGCAAGGAAGAGGAAAGGGGGGGGAGAAAGAAGGGGGGGAGAAAGAAGGGGGGGGATCAAAACGTCAAAGGATCAGTACTGCCCATCAGACAACAGCAGGCACTTAGCCACCGAAACCACGCATATGCAGACACAGTGAGTCCAGTCCACTTCTTCATTCAGTCTCATTAGGTGTCAATGTCTGAAGATGGTGAATCCAAAATACTTTTCGTCTGCGCATCCACCATGCTCTATGTGCATCCTGTCTGTGCAATCTCCCCCTCCACCCCACGCCCCCGCACATACTGGTTTATATGCTCAGGCTAAAGGCCATGTGACAATTCCAGTCAGTATGAGGTTGCCAGCCCAAATAATAGAAGCAGCACAGGTAACTTTAAAGAAATGAATGTCCTCAATGGCTGTTGCTAGGCAGCCACACAGTATTGCTAGCCATCAAGTGTTGGTTTCCTCACCCTGGGTGGTGTCTGATAACCTCAAGTTGTTGGAGTTTTTTCAACTGAAGACTAAACACCTGCATGTCTGAGTACATCTATGTATGATTTCAAGTTGGGAGCTTTAATTTTTTAAAATAAAATTACCTGTTGTTGTAGGTTTTTTTAAATGTTGGTTTCTGTTAGTAAAAGGTGGAGAGGGTTCTTTCCAGGGCCATTTTGGACTTTTGAGGGCCAGGACTCATTAGGGCCTCATGAATCCTCATTTGGACTCATTAGGGCCAGGTCCACCAGCAGCGAGGATTGCCATTTGCCCAGTGTGGGTGGGAAATCCCCAATTTTGTGGGCCCCTGCTACCAGCCAGCTGGTAGGTGGGAGGGAATCCCCCTAAACAGTGACATACCTGTGTCACCCAGAAGTGATGTTGGCACACTGGCGAAGTTGGGGGGTGATACTCTGGATTTTGGGCAGAACTCTATGGTTTGATGCCAATTTTACCATAGAGTTTTGCCCAAACTCCAGAGCATTGCCCTCCGACATCGATGCTGAGAGAGAGAAGGAAAGTTACAGGTGAGTAGATAAAGGTAACTTGGCTGGTGGGTGGGAAGAAGAAAAGGGGGAGAGGTTATAGAGGCTTTCAGGAAATAGTGGGGATGGGAAAATGAGTTGCCCCCCCCCCCTGAAAGTCCTTGCAGGTTCCATGCTTGTTACCACTGATTTGCAGACTGCAGAGATCAGTTACTTTGGAGGAAATGGGTTCAGGTGGGGAGCCGTCTGGGTCTGAAGCAGCAGAACAAAGTTTGAGTCCAGTGGAACCTTTAAGACTAACAGGGTTCTCAGCTCTGGGTTGAGAAATACCTGGAGGTTTTGGGAGTGGAGCCTGGGGAGGGCAGGGTTTGGAGAGGGGAGGAGCCACAGCAGGGTATAGTGCCACAGAGTCCACCCTTCAAAGCAGCCATTTTCTCCAGGGGAACTGATCTTGATCATCTGGGCATCAATTGTAATTGTTGGAGCTCTCCAGGTGCCACCTGGAGGTTGGCAACCCTGAGGCCAAAAAGTTTTATTTAAGGCATAAGCAAGATAGGACCCGGCAACCCTATGGGTTAATGCCTATTCAATGGGGTTCAGGATAGGGCTGCAGGAGGGTTGTGGCCTCCTCTACTTACGGGTAGTTCATACCATAAGCGTTCCTGGTGATTCCTAAAACTAACCCTAAGTGAAAAGGGTAGCTCTAGCCATCACCGGAAACTCTATGGTAAAGCCAGAAGTTCCTAGCTCTTCACCTCTGGGTAGCTCTAGGAATCAGCAGGAGCTCTATGGTAATATCTTCCAGAAGCAGGCAATGAGACCTGGGGGCAGGGAATCCCTCTCCATCACCAGGGGCTTGGTTGGCAGCTCTAGTTCAGGGACACCTGGTTCTTTTTCCCATTCAAATAGCAACACGAGCATTAACCTGAGCCTGTGCATTGGATGGACTCCTATGTCGGGGATTTATCTTTTTACATATTGCCACCAAGGGACATTTAAAAGGGAAACTCTCAGCCTACTGGCCCAGTTAAATGATGTGTTGAACTGCACGTGTGTATCGGAACTGTTACTGAATTACTATTATTTTAATTGTTTTGAACCAGTTTGATATTGTTATGTATTAAAATGTTCACAGCCCTGAGCCCCGTGTGCAGGGGAGGGTGGTCTACAAATCAAACAAATGAATGAATGAATAAAAATAAACAACCGCATCACCCACCTCACCACGTGGTGAACTCTGCACAGACTTGCTCAGCACTCACTTTTTGAACACACCAAGTGGTTGTATGGATTTGGGGGCGGGGTTTGGTGTGTGGGGGGAGATATGAAAAGCTTTATTCAGGGCTTCCATACTTCTAGCATCTTCATGGCTGGTAGAACTCTATTAGGTGGAGTTTTTGCTCCCATAACTGCCCCTTTGGGTTGCCAATATCCAGGTGGGGCCTGGATGTCTGGAACTGCAACTGACTTCTCTAGAGCCCAGAGATCAGTTCCCCTGGGGCAAATGGCTGATTTGGAGGGTGGACTATATACCCTGTTGAGTCCCCCCCCTCCAGCTACCCCTCCCAAAATCTCCAGGAATTTTCCAACTTGGAGTTGGGAACTGCACTGCCTCTCCATGCAGAAAACAGTTCCCTTGGATGATTTCAGAGATTTCAGTGGTTCCAAGCACTAGTTATAAGCCCCTGGTTCAAATCTCAGTCCATCTGTATCCCTTAAATAACGTTTCTGGGTCCCCACCCCCCAGAATGAGAAATAGTGTAAAACTTGAGAATGAAGAGCAAAAGCATTCTCTCAACCTTCCCCCAGAAGTAAGGTCATGTGGCCTTAGGGCACGTCCTCAAACCTCCACTTCCCTCATTCCTTTACAATGCATAGAACTGCCTCGAAATTACAAATTCTTACACTACACTTAGTTTGATCCCTTTACCTGTCCTGGAAAGGTCACGCTGTTGGCCTGCTTGATAGAGCTGCAAGGATTGCTTGAAAAGGGCATTTCTTGGGATGGCAACTCTGCAACGAAAACACACGCACACATACACGAGACAAGTATTTATATTGCAAGCATTCCGGGGGGGGGGGGTGCGTATGTCCGAAAAAGTCGCATGTTTTGGGGCATTCAAAGCAATTTACTCCACGGCACAGCTCGGCTTATGCACAAATTTTAGGAACCACATTTGTGCAACGCGTCTGCGTATTGGGGACTCCCCCCCCCAAAAAAAAAGCGACACAGAGGGAAATACGTAACATTTTGCAATCCATTCTGCCTACACTGCCAAATCTGGGTGTCAGCACACAGCTATTACTATTGAAGCGGGTGCGTGTGGTCCCTTTTTAAAACCTGAGGAGGGGGCGTGGCGCCGCGGCAAACCCCGGGGCGGGGCGAGGCCTGGGAAGGAGCCCCGCGCGCTGATTGGGCCGGACCGGGCGACCAGAGAACTCCCCCTCTCCCTTGCCTCCCTCCCTCCCTCCTCCCGCCCGCGTGTCTGCATGTTGACCTGGGAGGAGAGTTTTCTTGGCCGGGCCGGGGGTGGCTCAAAGGGAACTCGAAGCTGGCGGGAGCGGGGGGGTGGGGAGAACAGGGTCCAGCCCCGGAGCTGCCGGAAGAAGCGGCAGAGGAGCGGAACGCCGTGGATCCCGCGCCGCAGGCGATGCCCGCCTGGCGAGACAATGTAACCGGCTGACAGCCGCTTTCGGAGGTGCCGCCGGGTCGAAGCAACAACCCCCCTCCCTTTTTTCCCCCCTTCCAATTCTTAAATTGAGGAAGGCGCCCGTTTTCTGTCACTCCCCGGGCTGGCTGCGGGCGCTGCCATGGGGCTGCCCACTCTGGAGTTCAGCGATTCCTACTTGGATAGCCCGGATTTCAGGGAGAGGCTGAAATGTCACGAAGTCGAGCTGGAGAGGACCAACAAGTTCATCAAAGAGCTGATCAAGGACGGCAGCCTCCTGATCGGGGCCCTCCGAAGTGAGTCGGGGCGCCGGCGGGGACTCGGCTGGCTGGCTGGCTGGGACGGCGGATGGGAAGGTAAGGGGGGGGGCGATATAATAATAAAGGGCTGTTCTTTTGTTTGAATGGATCAAGGGAAAGGGCTCCCCTTCTGGCAGCCGGAAAGTTTTCTCGACATTCCAGGAGGGCTGCTCCTTGGCTGGGTCCCGGGAGAGAAAAAGTGACGCGCTTTTGCAGACGTGCGCGCTTCTGGGCTTGCGTGCGTGTGAGAAAGGAACTTCAGTCCTATGGGCGAAGGGTCGTAAAGCTTGTTTGCCCTGCTGGGCTCTGCTCCCCATCTGCGCGTTTGCGAAGTGTAGGCCCTGTCCGATAGCATAATCTGAAGGCATACCCTTCTGTTGTCGCGATTTCCTCCTCTCGGTCTCCGATGTTTAGCCCCATTGTGTGAAGGAGAGCTTACTCCCAGGTAAACGTGCGCGGCGGGATTGCGGCCTCACAGTGCAAGCATAGAATCACAGAGTTGGAAGGGGCCATATAGGCTATCTAAATCCAATCCTATGCTCTGCTTGGTGGAGTGGCAAACATAGTGACTTGCATAGGGTTCCTCTGACGCTTGCATTTTTAGGACAGAAGCATTAGAGCAATGTGCAAGAGGAAACCTCCCCCCAAACAACAGAGAAAGCAGGTGCAATTAAAAAGCTTAACCTGATCCCCCTCACCCTCCAAATACTGCAGGTTTCCTCTTCTAACAGTCCAAGCCCATTGCATTCAGTTATATAAGTCTGCTCCGTAATGGCCCCGTTCACACGGAGAAGTTGCCACGCTGAAGACACGGATGATAGGCAGATTTTCCGGGCACGATCACACCGCAACATCTGGGAAGCGTAGTGCACTGGTGGCTAACCCGTGGCTTGTTGCCGAAGATGCAGAGTAAAAAACCACCACATACAATGTACAAGTTTCCAGAAAACGCGGGGCAAGGGCAGGTGTCCGATCGCGTTTCCGCTGGAAACCCGTGGCATCCGGCGCCTGCCCATGTCCCGTTGCAAACTGGATGTGTTTTTTTTAAAGTCTCCACAGGATGCGCACAAACGATCATGCGCATGTGCAAACCGGTGAGACAAAAAAATCCCATTTTCCACGGAAGCGGCGCAGCGCGATTGCCGGTGTGATCGCACCGTGCTGCTTCTTTGCTGCGCTGCAGACTAGAACTGTGATCGGCACCTAATGGCCTAACCACGGGACCTCAACAGGACATCTGATCAGGCTGCTGCGCATTACTTTGTTCCGGGGCAAACAGCCACGCTTCCCCCCCGCATTTTCCGGCCCGTGTGACTGGGGCCAATATTACCTTAACTGCTTTCTTAAAATTTGGATTTTTGCAGAGTTCAGTGGGTATTTATAGCTAAGCTTGCATAGGAATGCAATTGTGAACCCACTCTATATGCATGTATTTATGAAGGCCCAGAGAGCTAGGATTTGTTGCAGCTGCCTAGCACATAAGAATACAAGAGAAGCCAGTGCTGGATCAGGCCAATGGCCCATCCAGTCCAACACTCTGTCACACAGTGGCCAAAAATACCAGGTGCCATCAGGAGGTCCACCAGTGGGGCCAGGACACTAGAAGCCCCCCCACTGTTGCCCCCCCAAGCACCAAGAATACAGAGCATCACTTGCCCCTGACCGTGAGTCCCTATCTATACCTTGTGGCTAATAGCCACTGATGGACCTCTGCTCACCCAGTTGATGCTGTATAATAGATGAAGTTGCTGGGCATCCATATGAGGATGCGACTTCCCAGTTTAAGGCCAGGCTATGGCCCAGGCTAGTCTGATCTCGTCAGATCTCAGACGCTAAGTAGGGTCGACCCTGGTTAGCATTTGGATGGGGGACAACCGAGGAAGTCCAGGGTTGCTATGCAGAGGCAGGCAGTGGCAAACCACCTCAGTTTGTCTCTTTCCTTGAAAACCCCTACAAGGTCATCATAAGTCGGCTGCAGCTTGAGAGCTCTTTCCACCACCGCAAAGAGCCGCAGCTCTTTTCGTTGGTTGCCACAGATTTAAGCTGATCTTAAAGGGGAACTTGTTGAAACTTCAGCATCTTAAAACTTCTCTCACTCTTCCTCTCGTGAACACAGAGCGGTGTATGTGGGAATGTTCCATTTGGTCCTCGAAACCATCCTGTTAAGTATAAATATTATGTGTGAAAAGGGATTTGAAGTCAAGTCTTCCTAGTTCAAATCCAGCATGTGATCTGCCCGGTCGACACTAATCAGGGCTAGAGAAGCAGGATAGTTACTTAGAAGCAATGTTCCCTCTAAGCTGTGGAGTCCTGTGAGCAAAAATTCTACTTTGTGAGCTACTGGCATTAAAGTTGTGAGTGAGCGATTCGGCTACTGCATAAATTATTTTGCTCTGGGGCCATCCTTCCTGAGCCAAGACAAAAATGTGTGAGCCAGAGGCTAAAAAACTGTGAGCTAGCTCACACTAACTCAGCTTAGAGGGAACACTGCTTAGAAGATACATAAAAGTGCTAAAACGTCTTAACCCGCCCATCCCTCTTTTTAAGTGCTGCCCTATGTACTCTGGTATATAAGGAACACTCGTGCTGGAAATTCCAGTAACACAGTCTGTTCTAGGATAAACTTTTGTGAGTCAGAGTTCACGTCATGATATGTACGATGTGGGCAACTCTTTAGGCAGGTTTTCAAAGGTGCAGGCAGCAAAAAATGGG